AAAGCAAAAAAACCCAGGATAGCCAAAACAATTCTGTACAATAAAAGAACTTCTGGAGGCCTCACAATCCCTGACTTCAAACTCTACTACACAACTATAGTAATAAAAACAGCCAGGTACTGGTACAAAAACAGACAAAAGGACCAATGGGATCAAACAAAGACCCAGATATTAATCCACACACCTACAAACACCTGAGTTTTGACAAAGAAGCAAAAAATATCAAATGGAAAAAGAAAGCATATTCAACAAATGGGGCTGGAACAACTGGATATCAGCATGTAAAAGAATACAAATAGATCCATATCTATCTCCATGAACAACACTCAAGTCTAAATGGATCAAAGATCTCAACATAAAACCAAACACACTGAACCTCATAGAAGAGAAAGTGGGAAGTACACTTGAACGCATTAGCACAGGAGACCACTTCCTAAATATAACCCCAGCAGCACAGACACTGAGAGAAACAATTAATAAATGGGACCTCCTGAAACTGAGAAGCTTCTGTAAAGCAAAGGACACGGTCAATAAGACAAAACGGCAGCCTACAGAATAAGAAAAGATCTTTACTAACCCCACATCGGACAGAAGGCTGATCTCTGAAATACATAAAAAACTCAAGAAACTGGTCATCAAAAGAACAAATAATCCAATAAAATAATGGGGTACAGACATAGAGAACTCTCGACAGAGGAATCTAAAATGACTGAAAGACACTTAAGGAAATGTTCAACATCCTTAATCATCAGAAAAATACAAATTAAAACAACTCTGAGATTCTATCTTAAACCTGTCAGAATGGCCAAGATCAAAAACACTGATGACAACTTATGCTGGAGAAGATGTGGGGGAAAGGGAACACTCTGCATTGCTGGTGGGAGTGCAAATTGGTACATCTGCTTTGGAAACCAGTATGGCAATTTCTCAGAAAATTAGGAAACAACCTTCCTCAAGACCAAACAATGCCACTTTTGGGTATATACACAAATGATGTTCAATCATACCACAAGGACATGTGCTCAGCTATGTTCATAGCAGCATTATTTATCATAGCCAGAACCTGGAAACAACATAAATGCCCCTCGACTGAAGAATGGATAAGGAAAATGTGGTACCTTTACACAATGGAGAACTACACAGTGGAAAAAATAATGACATCTTGAAATCTGCAGGCAAGTGGATGGAGCTAGAAAACATCATACTGAGTGAGGTAACCCGGACTCAGGAAGACAAATATAATATGTACTCACACATAAGTGGTTTTTAGACATAAAGCGAAGAAAATCCAGTCTACAATTCACAACCCCATACAACCTAGAGAACTCAGTGGACCCTAAGAGAGACATACATGGGTCTAATCTACATGGAAGTAGAAAAAGACAAGATCTCCTGAGTAAATTGGGAGTGTAACGATCATAGGAGAGGGTAGAAGGGGAGGGGAGCAGAGAAAAATATATAGCTTAATAAAAACAACGGAAAACATTTTATTTCTAAGGTACCATAAAAATTGGTTTCATTATGATATTTTAAAAATGCACTTTAGACATAAAGGACGTTGAGCTTATAATCCATGTTCCTAGAGAAGCTAAATAAGGTGAATCCAAAGACAAACACATAGGCATCCTCAGGAATATTAACCTTCATCAGGCGATGAAAGGAGACAGAGACAGAGACCCACACGGGAGCACCGGACAGAAATCTCAAGGTCCAAATCAGGAGCAGAAGGAGACGGAGCACGAGCAAGGAACTCAGGACCACGAGGGGTGCACCCACACACTAAGACAATGGGGATGTTCTATTGGGATCTCACCAAGGCCAGCTGGCCTAGGTCTGAAAAAGCATGGGATAAATCCGGACTAGCTGAACATAGCGGACAATGAGGAATACTGAGAATTCAAGAACAATTGCAGTGGGTTTTTGATCCTACTGCACGTACTGGCTTTGTGGGAGCCTAGGCAGTTTGAATGCTCACCTTACGAGACCTGGATAGAGGTGGGCAGTCCTTGGGCTTCCCACAGGTCAGGGAACCCTGATTGCTCTTCGAGCAGATGAGGGAGGGGGACTTGATCGGGGGAGGGGGAGGGAAATGGGAAGCGGTTGTGAGGACGAGGCAGAAATCCTTAATAAATAAATAAATTTAAAAAAAAAGGGAAAAAAATAAAAATGCACTTTAAATTAAGTCATCTTTGTGTAACAAAAATAAAGAGCCTACATCAAAATAAAAAGCAACAGCTTAAAAAAAAAAAAAGATACAGTCTGTCAGAGGGCCCTCAGATGGAGCTGACCTGAAAGTCTCCTTCCTGAAACCAGCTTTCATGGCCCCATGAAGCTGGCACCATGCAAGCTTCCAAAGGAGAGAAGCAACCAACCAGCTATGATAGCTGTCAACCACAACAACAGTCAGCATGGCACAACAACCCTAAGGGTGAAATAGTGGCGCACATATCCTGTGTATAACCAGCAGCTCCATAATTGGACATCAGACCTGCCCAACAAGAGAAAAATCATGCCTGCTACTGGAAACCTAGCCAGCTACCCAGGTCGTGGAGGGTGACCTGTACCACTGCTTTCCCAAACCAGCACAATCCCTAACTACACTCGAAGTGCAGTCCTCACCCCCATCAAGGAAACTTCTCTTTGCAGCAAATGGAGACCATACAGAAAAGCACAACCAATCAAAATACAGGGTTGGAGAGCCCAAGCCCAGTGGATATATCTACAAAATAATTCTTGCACCTAAAGCTCAGGGAACCTTGCAGAAAAGGGGACAGAATGAAGTTTGCTATGAGACCGTGTCTCTCTGTAAAGTCTCACCAGCATGACTGCCTAACCATGGGCTGAACAAGAACAGCAATAGACAAGCCGAAGTAGGTGAGAGAAAGACCACAAACTCTCCGTCCTGCACAAATAACTACAGGCAACTAAGGAGCGTGGGGAGTGGGAGAAACTGTTTTCCCCAGGGAAGAGAACACCAGTTGGTTATCCAATGCCAAATCGTCAGCTATGAAAACTACACACACGGAACATCATACAATCTTATCAGGCTATATTTGAGAATATATGTACAAACACTTATATGCATGGAGCAACAATTAATGGAAGAGGTTATGAATTTGAAAAAGCAAGAAGAGGGATACAGGAGGGTACTGAGGAAAAATGGAATGGGAAAATCATGGTAGTTATAATCTTGAAAATAAAAGAAATATTTTTAAACATAGTCTGTCTTTATATCCATGAAAACAATTATTCCTTTCCCAGCCTCAAGTACAAACTGAGGTGTCAGTGTAACGCAAACTTGTTTTACTTTTTATTGTTGAATGTTTCAAACATATGCAAAAATAGCCTAGTATAATGAACTCCATGTAACTTCCACCATGCAAGTAGTATTGTTTCATCCATATTCCCCATTCTACTCCCTTCCTCTCACTGGATGACTTTAAAAGAAATCCCATGTAATTTTATCCTTATTATTATAGTACATAGCTCTTCAAAGAATGGCTTTTTAAAAATCGTAGCCAAAATGTCATTATCACACTTAAAAAGTTAACAGTGTGAATCTGTTTTTAAAGAACGGGTCTCTCTGTGTAGCCCAGGTTACAGTTTATGGCTGTTCACAGGCATGCTCCCACTACTAATCACTCCGTCCTGACCTTCAGTGATGTAATCAGTCGTGATGTCAAACACCTGGGCTCAAACGAGCCTCCTACCTCAGCCTCCCAGTCATATACAACCGTAGACATGTGGTACAGGCGGTTTATTTTTAAACACATCAGAATTTGTACATCAGAAGGAATTTTCTCTTCAAAAAAACTATTTTTAAAGATTTTAGTCAATATTATGTGCATAAGGGTTTGCCTCCATGTATGTATTTGATGCCTGAAGAGGTCAGAGGAGGGCATCAGGTCCTCTGGAACGGGAGTTATAGATGGTTTATAAACGATCATGTGGGTGCTGGGAACCAAACCCAGGTCCTCTGCAAGACCGACAAACGCTCTGAGCTACTTAACCATCTCTCCAGCCCTCAAAGATCATCTTAAAAATCATCTTAAAAGTCAGCCTTGTCAAAATAAACCTCAGGGTTACTTTCAGGACTTTAAGCATTCCAAATCACGCGCTCCCTCACTCTTCATGGATAGATGTAGTTTGAAAACAGTCGTGAAGACTTCAGTGAACAGCGGGAGCAATCAGACTGGGCAGCAGAGGTTTGTTTGGGGAGCGACAGGCACACAGAGGCGCCAGCTGTATCCCGAGAGGGGTCAAGCTGTAAAGCAGGTGAGAAATCAGTCACCCATTCACCGGCCAGAGACAGCCAGCCAGCAGGCAAGCCTGCAGCAGGAAGACTGCTCCCACACCCCCACATCGATCGGACCCTGCGCCCCCAAACCCACCCAGCTACGTGACCTTTGAGAATCTCTGAAACACAGACTGTAGCTGCACAGAGCGGACCAAGAGGTGAGCGATCAGTCAATGGCAGGAGACACTAGCGTGAGAAAGAGTTCTGCCGCCTGGAAGCAGAAGCAGGACCGGAACTAAGGAGAAGGCGAGCAGCAGCGAAGAGGGCCAACCACAGCGTGGATGCTGTTATGCTTAATCTCTGCCGTAAATGCCAGCGATTCCCACGCACTTCCGGGATTATTTTGCACTTCAGGCCTTCACGCTTTTGCAATCTCTGTTCTCTGGGGTTAGAATATACCTAGTCCCATTGGGTCAGAACCACTGAGAGAATCTCCAGTCATCCTTCAAGAACATGAGTAAATACTACTACGTTCCTCTCTCTTTGGCATAATCCACTACCAACCCCCAGTTACACTTTGTAAGTATCTGTTTTAATCTTGATGATGGCTTTTTGTCATCCATATGTATGATGCATGCATGCATGTATGTATGTATGTGTGTATGTATGTATCCTCAAATAGAGATGTAACTTAACTTTTGTGTCTTTGGTACTAAAATAATGACTTTGCACACAGTGGGTCTTCAGAAATCCATGTGCTTAATGCACTTGTGTGTGTGTTTGCTTAACTGTGGACAAAGACTAAAAGCAGGTGTAAAAGCAACATCCTCCTTTGTATTCCAGAACTCATTGCTCAGCATGTTGTGATACAAATAAAAAGTGATATAAACTGGGGTATAACTCACTTGGTAGAATGCTTGCCTGGCATGCTCCAGGCCCTGGCTTGGGGTGCACACCTGCAACCTCAGCCCTCAAGAGCTTGAGGCAGAAGGGTCAGAAGTTCAAGGTCATGCTTGGCTACGTGAGACCTCTGTCTCAAAAAAGAAAAGAAAAGAAAAAAGAATACAACACCTTAAAGAAATTGTCTGTTTATTGCGTAGATGAGATCGATAATCTTCACATGGCTTGGGCCCTAAAATGTTCTCACAAGATAGCAATATAGCCATAGGCTCTAAACAGAGAATGAACCAAAGGCAGGCAACCTGGCGGCAATGCAGCTCTTGCAAACACAGTCCCTGGAAGGTCCACATCTGTGAAACAGAAAGTTCTGGAACAGATTCGCCCAAGGAAATGCTGATAACTTTTTCAAATCCATTGGGGGAGGGGGATATCATTTTACTTTTCTTCTCAGAACTAAGTTGACAAATGAATGCATTAGGTAGAAATTGAAACTGTCTTCCAAGTTATCTGTGTCCACATTCTTCTCAAAGTAAACCCCGAAATCACCTACTCAAGGGAAACAGATGGCTGACTGTCAAGTTCATTGTTTGAAATGATGAAAATATGAAACAATCAGACTAGTAGTCACAGCAATCCTTGTTGGGATGTTCATAGACTGCTCTTCCTTTCCCACCTTTGTTCCCACAGTGAAAGCAAAAGATAAACAAACAGCAGCAAAGACCACCGGCTCCAACAGAACCGGCCAGCACAGCCCTTGAGCAGGCAGGAAGCTGCGGAGTCTCCCTGCTCTAAGCCGGTGGCGTGTGCCACGTCTAGCACCTGCGGCAGAATCCCGGGGTGACTGGTGAAGGAGTCCGCGGGAAGCTATGTGGGTAGACAGGAGAGAGCCGGCTGTAAAAGAACAACTGTACCCGATGTCACCAGCTGCTGGCTGGACCTGGATTATTTTATTGAGATCATGAAGACTTCTGAGCCCCCAATGGCTCGTGGTGTATTTTCAAAGTAGTTCTTTTTTCTTTATAATCAGCAGTCTGCAGAAACTTTTAGAGTTCTTCTCTTAGGTGGTTTTAAAGAATCTATTACACCATGTTTGCATGGAAATAACTTGATTTGGATGGAGAGGAAACAGGACCGAAGCTGTTGAGCAGCAGGTTCGTTGGGTTGTAATGGCTGCATTGCATAACCTGGGCAAGGAATCTCATGACATAGAAGATTGTTATAGCAACCTGGAAATCCAGCTAGACCACCCAAGGGCTTCCAAGAGCACTTCAGCGTCTGCATTATAGGAATCTTTTCTCTGACCTGTTACACACGGGCTTGACCATCTCTCAATCGGGAAGCATGGAAAATAAATTAGAACATTTCTATACTAGGTTTATAAAGGGAATTTATTTTCCATTTATTTATTTCAATATTTTTGTTTTTTTTGAAACAGGGTTTCTCTGTGTAGCTCTGGCTATCCTGGAACTTGCTCTGTAGATCAGGTTGGCCTCAAATTCACAGGAATCTACCTACCTCTGTCTCCCAAATGCTGGGACTAAAGGTATGAACTGCCATACCTGGCTGAAATTTATTATTTTTAAGTGAATCTGAAATTATATCTTAAAAGTGATTCATGTACACAAAGTATGGAAAACAAAAATAATAAAACACAAACACTAGTACTATTTTTTATTGTGCTAAAATTATTACTTTTAACAAAGGACATCTAAAACAGCCGAAACAATCAAGTAAAGGAGTATGCGTGGAGATATTACCCCACTGACTTTATAAACATGTCACAGTGTAATACTGGCATATAAACACATAAAAATCAAAAAACACAATAGAGAACCCAGAAATAAACAACACACACAACTCTAGCCAAACGGTTTTCACAAAGATACCAAGAACACACGTGCAGGAAAAAACAGTTTCTTCTATATCTGCTGCGAGAAAAATAGGATGTCCACATGGGAAAGAATTCAATCACACGCGTGTCTTTCATTGTAGTGAGCCGGACAGGATCGCCATTACAAGATGGCGCCGACATCCTGTCTTGTTGGAAATAAACAACTCCATATTTGGCTATGCCTTTGAGAGCTGCAGGTCCCCCGCTTCCCATATGCACCCAATGAGGTCTGGTGTCAGCTGTTGGTGGCAGCCAATCACAGGGCGACCCGTGTGCCATTTCCCTATTTAAGCAGCTGCCTAAGAGCCCTTCCCCACTTCGCTTCATGCTCTCCCTGCCCTTCCCTTCCTGCCCCTTGTTTTCCTGCCCCTCTTGTTTCATGCTCCCCATCAATCAAGGACACTCCAGTAAAGCGTGTTCTGAGTAGAATCCTCATGTGGTGGTTGTTCTTTCTCGCTGGTCGAGAGGTCCGCCACATTTCATCACACATAAAAATCATCCTAAAATGGATTAAAGGCTTAAATATGAGGCTGAAGTCTAAATCCACCTGAAGAAAACAGAGGAAATGCTTCATGATGCTAACTATGCAAAGGTTTTTAAATTTTTTTATTGCATTAATTTTATGTGTGTGCACACATTTGTGCATGTGTGTGCACGTGTGTGTTCCTATGCCACAGAGGACAAGTGGCTAGAGTCGGCTCTCTCCTCCCACCGTGCGGGTGGGAGATACCAAGCTCGGATCGTAAGGCTTGGCAGCAAGCATCTTTACCCAACAGCCACCTCCCTGGTCTAAATGTTTAAATAAGACAAAAGCACATAGGACAAAGCCCAAAATTGACAAATGGGATTACATCAAACTAAAGTCTTCTGCACGGCAAGGGAAATATCTAACAGAGTGAAGGAAGCCTAAGGAATAGAGGAAAATATTTGCAAACTGCACCTGATGCACGACAGTAAAAGGGGACCTTAACTGAACAGACACTTCCCGAAAGGAGGCAAGCGCATGAAAATGTGGGCATCAGCACCGCTAACCGTCAGGGAGATGCGCATCCCGGCTACAGCGGCATTTCTAAAGGAAACAGCAACACGCGTGCTGAGCTGGCAGAGAAGGGGGGTTCTTTGGCGCCATTAGTGACGTGTGCAACAATCCGACTGCCAGGGATCTGTCCACAGGGGTGAAGTCAGCATCTTCAGGAGACGTCTGCACTCCCTCTGCCTGTAACTACTCACAGGGAACAAGTGCTTCCGACTGAAACAGAAAGCAATGTGTGAATGCGCAAGAGAGGACCCTTTGGCCGTTGGTAAAGCGTAAACTCCTGTAACTTGCTGGAAAATGGATGAGCCTGGGAAAAATTATATGAAGAACAGTAAGCCAGGCACAGAAAAGGTAAGGACCACATGCTCTCCCTATGCAGGAAACTGAAAGCATGGGTCACAGAAGACAGTGGAGGGCAGGGAGGTGTGGGATGGAGAGAAAATTATTGCTAAGTTTTGCTGGCCAACATCCCATCTCCGGACCCAGTGAGAGACCTTTTCTGAAGGAACAGGGGGAGATATGTAAAACAACACATCTGATTGTCTCCCTCGGGACAGGCACACCCACCACAGCCACACATACGTGGACTTTCACAACACACACGTGTAGGCAGAGGCTGCTTGTTTGTTTCCAGCCACGCAGACCCGAAATGATAACACAGAAACTATTCATTACAACACTGCTTGGCCAATAGCTTAGGCATATTCCTGGCTAACTCTCACATCTTAAATTGACCCATTTCTATTCATCTGTGTATCTGTGTATCTGGTGGTTGTGGCCTACCAGTAAGGTTCTGTTAGTGTCTATCCAGCATCTGACTCCTGAGGCAGCTACAAGGCTTTTCCCTGACTCTGCCTACTCTCTCTCTCTCTCTCTCTCTCTCTCTCTCTCTCTCTCCCCATCTCTGCTCAGATTCTCCACCTAGCTTTACTCTGTTAAGCCACTGGCCGAAAGCAGCTTCTTTATTCACAGTATACGGAGGGGAATCCCGCAGCTTCTGTATTCACAGTATAAATCCCACATCACACACATATTTAAGAATTTGGACTGATAGACATTTAAAACACTTTAAACAAACTGTCAATATATACTATTTGTTAATTGTTAATATATATTAATATTTGACTGTGAAAACCAATGTACTGAATTGGAAGTTTTTTCCAAAGGTTTTATTATTACTTGCTGGATCCAAATTTGCTTGTGTAAGTTTTAAAACCATTCATTGTTGCTACTGCTTTCTAGCTAATCATGAACTCCATTTACATTAATAATGTAAACTTCTACATGCAGACCTGTCCATGACCATGTGCTTCGCCGGAGGAGGCAGCCACGAGAAGGATGAGAGAGAGTTCCTCACCCTCTCTACTTCTCTCAAGGACATACACAAGAATATAGAATCGATTCTGAGAGATTAATAGTCATACATTGCCCAAGGCACACTGCAGCCTGGTTTGAACTGCTTAGCTCTTTCTACATAAATCCTACTTTAAGAAAAACAGTTGCACCAAGACATTGATTACTTTCTACAAAACAAGATTTTGTTTCGTTATGGTTTTCCTTGTGATAGGGACTCACTCTGTAGCCTAGACCGGCACTGAACTCAGCAATCTTCCTGCCTCAGCTTCAAAACAACTTTTCTTAATAACAATAAACAAACAAAAAGTCCTTTTTAACTTCAAACTTATAGTATGATAGCAGGGTTGACACAGTTGCCTTGGTGACTGCTTTGTCTCAGTATCTACTGCTATTGTCTGCTATGTCTACCATTTATCTGTGTGCTGTGTGTGTGTATGTGCTTGTGTGTGAATGTGTAGAGATTCTTTTTCACATTTGGGAAACCTAACATTAATACAATATTATATGAATACACTGTCCATATTAAAATTACCAATTTCCCAATTGATGATTGGTATGTGTGAACCAGTGATTAGTGTATCTGCATGTTTAAGAACATGAGGTCAGAGGCAGAGATCAAGGAGGTCAGAGGCAGAGGTCAGGAGGTCAGAGGCAGAGGTCAGGAGGTCAGAGGCAGAGGTCAGGCATCTTCTTCAACTGCTTTT